GTGTTGAATTTCAGGTGCTCTGAATTACAATGAGAAAGATCCAACTAAGGCAACATGGACCACATGAGTCATTCTTGCACATAATGAGGCCTGCCGCTTGGGGTTCTTCTGTCATGTACAAGAAGGCACTTGTGCTTTCACTCCTTGGGGCATAGTACTCAGCCTCATGGCAACAAGAGAGAACTCAAACCTGCTCTGTCTGCAGGGAGTGTGGGAAAATAAGTCTTGGCCACCAATCTTGGCTACACTGCAAATAAAGTGTCTTTGAAACACTGTGTCAAGAAATTAGAATCTTAGCTGGGGCTAGCTTGTTCATATTATACTCAGTAATAGCCGCATTACACAGGAAAGCTGGTAAGTGTGTGGCTATTTATCAGGGGCTGCTGTAACAGGAAAGAAGCAGGTCACTCTGACTGCATCTAAAAGGAAAAACATTCTTCTACCCATAAGCAAACAGGGTATCTCATGTCCAGGGACAAAGAATCCTGAAAAGTCAAGGCTAAAGGAGGAAGCATGAAGAAATTATTTTCCTGAACTTTATAGCTCTTATATTTGTAGGGGAAATAATGGGATATAGAAGCCCAGTTTGTCAAAAATAAAATAGAAAACAAATATCCTAATAGGAAAACATGGCCCTTCCTCTGACAAGTATCTTAAATGAAAACTTTTCAAATTGGCATGACAGCCTTTCTTCATGAGTTCACAGCTAACAAATACAGATGAGGTCATCAGACATAACTTTTAGAGCACATGGCTTTATACAATGCAAGTGTATCAGACATTTCCTCAACATAAGAGAGAGACCAAACCAGAAAAACAGACTGCGGGAAGGGGAGGTCAGGAAATGAATAATAAAATGACAGGAAAAAGAAAAAAAAATATTTCTTATAAAACAGCCCTGTAATCTCAGAAAGATGATATAACATCTGTAAAACAAAAAACAGAATGCTGTAAAAAAGGAAAGAGAACAAGAAAATATTCTTGGAAATTGAAATTTTCACAGCCAAAATAAAAATTCAATAGAGAATTCAACACAGAAGGGAAAGTTGAAATCTCTTAGAAAGTAATACAAATTGAAAAAGAGAAGGGCTATAGAAGAAAAATGACTTAGAGGATTAATCTAAGAGATCCAATATCCTACTAGTAGGAGTTCCAGAAAGAGGGGATGGAGAAAACAGGGGAAGAAATTATCAAAGAAATAATAAAAGAAAAATTTCCAGAAAGAAAGTTGCTAAGTCCAAACAGTGAGTGGGCCCACTGGATTTCCAGTCTAATTACCGAACAGAAGACTTGTATTAGGGCATATTCCTGCGAAACTTCAGGATTCCAGAGCTAAGGGAGCTGAGTTTGAGGATAAGAAGATGGGATAGGGGCAGGGCAAAGGGAAGCAGTCGCATTCCAAGAAACTAAAATTAAAATCATTAACCTTGGATGCTGGAAGATAATAAATTGGAAGGTAAGCCCCTTTCAGCTTAAAATTCTATATACAGCCAAACTATGCTATTCATGTGGGAAAAGAAACAAAAATTAGACATGTAAACATTTATAAAAATTCCTGTGTATCTTTTTATTAGTTACTGGAAAATGTGCTTCAGTAAAGTAAGGGAATAAACCAAGAATGAGAAAGTCATGAACAGAATCCATAAAACAGGGAATTCAATCCAGAGAAGTGGCAAAGGGAAGTCCAAGGATGACAGCTATGCAGCAGGCCTGGAGAGCGACCCGTCCAAGATTGGATCAAAACAATGGAAGGCTCTGTGGGGGGAGGGACAGAATAAATGAATTATTGGATGTGTTTGCACATTTGGGAATAAAATCTGATGCATTTTTGAAGAAAGTAGAGAATTTTCATTGTCTACCCATGAAAAAAGAAAATCAAATGCAATAAATAATTCTAGGAGAGACAAAATGATGTACAAAGAAAGAAACTATAACCTATTGAAAGGGAGGCAGGGAAGTGAGAGGGAAGAAAGGACAAGCAGATCACCTGGGATTCCATGAACCAGAGATAATGTGTTATTATTTTATTGTTTATCTTTTCAAATAAATCTGTACCATACACATGTATCTTTACAATAGTGGGATCATACTGTACTATTTCATGGTTTGCTTTTTGTCAGTTACTATTATTTTTAAATATGTATTTGACATTATATATTCTGCAGGATAATAGGTTATAGAATAATTAATTTAGTGAATAGGCCATAATGTATTAATCAAATCCCTGTTGCTTTAATTTAGTTGGTCCTTATAAATTCCCCGAAATATAGTAAAACAAAGACAGCTCTGGTTTTGGAACCAGGACTTAGAGTCTTAAAGTCCAGCTTCTTAGTGTATAACTGCGACTAAATATCCTGTCCTGATTTAGGAGATTAGGCCAAGAAAATGCAGAATATTTACTCCTATATGTATTCATGCTAATATCACAGACAGACAAGAATGATTAAAGTGCTACTTTTTAGGATTACATCATGGCTATATTTAAGGGAGCATCTCCTACCCTGTTCTCTGTCTAGAGTGCTGCCGACCCAAGTGTCTGCAGGGTCCATTTTCTCATTTCATTCAAGTTCTCTGTTCACACAAGCCCTTACCAGGAAGGTCTTTTCAGTGAACTTTACATAAAATAGGCCACCTCCGTCACTGCACAGACTTATCTCCTAAGCTGATTTTATTTTTCTCCATAGCACTTTCTCACCATCTACCATCTATCATCCCAAAAGCTGTATCTCAAGAATAGCTTTTCTGTCTTGTTTGTTGCTCCATCTCTGGCACCTAAAATAATGCCTGGCATAAAGTAAGTAGGTGTTCAGTCATCGTTGAATGAACAAACAAATGAATGAGTTAATTAACTGGGACTTAGAAAACAATGGGAACAACCCAAGAAGGCAGGGAAGGGAAATTCTAAGTCGACAGTGGTGCAGGTTAGAGCAGAGGGTCTAAGAGTCCTGGAAAGGAGGTCTCCAGGAATAATTGACTCAGAAAAATATTGAGTAGAGTTAGGGGGAAAAAAAGGTAACTGTAACAAAAACAAATATTGGAGGACAGAGACTTGTAAAAATGGAAGTGTCGTTCTAGATACCACTTGGCTCAGCAGTGAACAATATTTAGAAGTAAAAGTGTAAGTATATTATTTAAGTAAGAATAGAATAATTCAAAATAAGATATAAACATGTTGAGAAGATGGCAGGAAGGAATGGTAGGGCTGTAAAAGTGAGCTAAATCCTCATCTCTCACAGCAACTCAGCAAGGGTAATAAATAAGTTATCAAGAAATGGCAAGATGATCGTAAGTGTTTAGATGTTTGAAGATAACTAGTGGAAGGACAGCTAAAAGAGTTAAGAGAGGCTTCCTCTAGGAAACGGGTCTAGAAATGGGAAACGATGGAAAAGGAAACTATGGTTTTGCACTAGAACCATTTCTGTGATATTTGATATGAAACTATATATGTGTGTGTGTTACCTTGATAAAACTTTAAACAAGGAAAGTAGAGGAAAAATGTAAAAATTAATAATCTGGGGATTGGGCATGGTGGCTCACATCTGTAATCCTAGCACTTTGAGAGGCCAAGGCGGGCAGATCATCTGAGGTCAGGAGTTCAAGACCAGCCTGACCAACATGGCGAAACCCTGTCCCTACTAAAAATACAAAATGAGCTGAGCGTGGTGGCACATGCCTGTAATCCCAGCTACTCTGGAGGCTGAGGCAGGAGAATTGCTTGAACCCGGGAGGTGGAGGTTGCAGTGAGCCAAGATCGTGCCATTGCACTCCAGCCCGGGCAATAAAGAGCGAAACTTTGTCTCAAAAAATAATAATGATAATCTGGAACTAAAATTACAGATGGTTGAAGCCACAGGGATGGAGGCAGGATGGGAGGAAGGCACGGGGAAAGTGCAAGTATGCTAAGGTCATGCCTTGTTTAGATGAGTAATTCCAGACAGCAAGAGAAAATAAAAAGTAAGTTTGCAGTTCTTAGGTAAGGCTTACCACTAGATAAATAAAAATGGAATTTATACTTTCAGATTGTTAATGAAAATAAATTTGTTAAATCCTGGGTAGGGAGGAAAATTCATCATTCACACTAAAGATAAGAGTCAGAAATAACAAGAAAGCATAGGATATATAAAGCAAGATGACTGGAGTCAGACCAAATAGCTTTGATCTCAATATATATGAATATGTTTAGTCCCTCTATTTAAGAAACAGAGACTTTCAAATTGCATTTTTAAAGAAGTTCACTTACATGATTTCAAGAGACATACTTGAAACAAAATGACAAAAGATTGAAAATGAAGGGAAGGAGAGATGCTGGCAAAAAAAGAAAGCAAGATAACAATAATAATCCCAGTCAAAATGGAATTGAAGGTACAAAGCATTGAATGCAAATGTTCTTACCAGTACAAGAAAGCCACATACATTCATGTTATCTCTGGCTTTCTTCCTCTTTCCTAGGTATTTGACATCTTGAAAGTGAGCATCACTTTGCTTATTTTGCAGCCAATATAATGGGACTAACTCTTATTGAAAACTCCTAGAGATCTTTAAACGTATTTTTAAAAATAAATAATCCTTTTGTTTCCTTTAAAAAAAAAAAAAAAGCCAAGAGATTTTCATGTTAGTAACTGTTTGCATTTTCTTGGCATACATGATTTATTGGTAACAATTTGTGCTTCTAAGCCTTAAATCGAAATAGCACATATTGATCTGGTACAATTGCACACATCATCTGCTGTGGTATCTGACATTGGGCTGTGGAACTGTTAAACTTTTGCTATGGAGAAGCTAGATGAGGTTGGAAGAAGGTTCTTTTAAATGAAATGCTCTTGTTTCCAGAGACTGTGTGCATGTTGCCTGACTCACATTCCTCTGTTGGCCTCACCCGTATCTCTCATCAGATAGCACATGCCAAAAGAAAGGAGGAACATGAATTTACTAAAATTAACTTGAAATTTGTGTTTGTTCTATATATTCTAAATGTTTGACTTTTTATTTTTTAAATGTAGCTAATGCTGCCTACCTTGGGGGCCAAGAAATGATGGAGGTGGTGAAGAGAGATGACGAAACCATAAAGGAGCATTTATGTAAGGTAATCACTTTAGTGCTGTAAGGGGATAGATAAGAAGTAGATGGGCAGATATATTTATGAGGGCAAAGGACTAGAACTAGTTAGAATCTGTAAGACTTTAAGGGTTTGTAGAATGACACAGAGTTCTACTTCCAGTTAAAATTGAAATTATCCTTGAAGGTTGCATAGAGAGTAGTAAAGCTGATTGCATAGTAACTTAAATATTTTTTATCACCTGTTTTTGTTGAATTAATTTTAGAATCAATACTTCTCTATTTTGTCAATACATTTTAGCCTCTCTAGGCCTTCTACTGAGAAAACTCCATAATATTTATAGAATAAATGAATTATGTTGGAATATAAATGAAACAGTAGAAAATACATTATATGTTATATGACCTCATGACTAGTGAGCCTTTCTTATTCTCTAATGTATTAGAGTAGGAATGTCCTGCTCTGACCCTAAGATCAGTTTTGTGAAATATTCAACATTTGGGAGTTATTCTGCAAATACACACATATTTGGAAGCACCAGTCTCTGAAACTATAAGACTAGGGTTTAGTATATATGTCTAAGGTCACCCTAGAATTTGAATGACTGTGGTACTCCTGTGGCATCATTTGTCTGGCTGTCCATTCTGAGTAGGACAGAGCTGTACTAATACTATAGCCACTAGCCACATGTGGTTATTTGTGGCTAGCCTTAATTGAGATGTGCCATAAGTGTAAAACACACATTGGATTTCAAAAGTTTAGTTCCCCCAAAAGCAAAATATTTCATTAATTTTATATTGATTACCTGCTGAAATGATACTACCTTAGATATAGTGGATAAGTAAAACATATTATTAAAAATAATTTCACCCATTCCTTTATACTTTTTTAAACATTGTAACTAGGAAATTCTAAAATTGCATATGTACCTTTCTTTTATACTTCTGTTGGACAGCACTAACCTTGAACTTTACAATTGGTGCTGAACTATGACACCTGCTGAAATGATCCCTGCTCAGTGGCAAACTCTCACAGGACTCAGGAGCAATCCACAACTGAAATACGAGACAACCCACTGGACTTAGAATGTCTTTATAAACCTTGATACATTTGACTTAAACTTTTCTACCTTGTTAATTCTTAATTCCATAACCTCCCAATACAATTATCTTAAAACAAGAAATGTATATGTTCTTAAAATTTTTTTTTAGAATATTTAAAATATTCACCCGTAGAGGACTTTTGAAAATGCCAGTGTGTTTTTGTCTCATGGCCATAGTAGTCATCATATTTCTAAAATAGCAATTGGCTAGAGATTGAAATTTGGAAACCAGAAGGAAGCCCTCACTAGCCGAAGGGAGTGTGCTGGGGCTTCAGGGGGGCCCTCTCTCCGGGGCTTTCAGCTACTTCCAGTCACTGAGCGATGTGAAAATACAAGAAAAACAGTATTTTATTTTTCATTTAAACTATAAGTGAATCTGTTTCAAAAATGCATTTAAGTTCTTCCAGGTTGGGAGTTCATAAAAACAGCTCAACTCTCAGTTAATAATAAGACTGGCAGATGCTCACTTCCAAAATTCACACTTGCTGAACGACTAGACCCATCATGGGTCAGAGCCTGCCTTACCACCTGTGGAAGCCAGCTGCTATAAAATACTCATCATTTCTGGATTCAGCTTGTGTGTTGTGCTCAGAAAAAGGTCAAAGAATGGTGCTAACTTATTCCTGTCCTAAGTGAAATCCATATGCAAGTGTAATCATTCCCAGATAGAGGACTGTTCGTGGTAATTATGTCAGGACTGTAAGTTTACTGAAATTTTATGGGGGAAATATGGGGGTATAATGGTAGATGGTAGACATTTCAAGGTTAGTATTAACACACAGTCATAGGACTAAACTTTTTCAACTCCAGGCAATAGTTTTGTTTTTGAGATAGCGTTAAATGTACTTGTAGAATATGGGGAAACAAAGCATTGTTTCATTTAATCACGCAAAACTACCTTGCAGTTAATTCATTATCCTTTCCACCAGCAAAATTCAAGCCCTCCACTAGAATAACACAATTACAGCTCCTAAGTGAAACTAGGTACAGAGAGACAGGAAGTTTATTGCAACTTTTTGTTTCTGTAATAAAAAGAGGAAACATGCTGTAATTTAATATTGGTAGAAGTTGAATCAACATATGTCCCAATCTGCTTGAGAAAATAAGGAAACTTAAAAGTGCACATAGTTCTAGGAAGATAATGGGCATTGCCTCCTACCTTCCAAACACCCCCAATAACTAGTCAAACTAAAACCAATGTCCAGGATTAGAAGTATTCCTATTTAGGTGTCTTAATCAAGGATATTCGTTCCCATTTCCACCCAAACAAAGGCATTCAGAAACTGCAGAACTATCCAGGACTGTCCAGTGTGAATAGTCGTCGAGCCACACATTTGTTGAAAAATCATTTCCTATATCTCAGTATTCAACTAAAAATAGTTCTGAAAAGTACATCTTTGTGCCATCCAGCCAGAATGTCATAGGAAAGTTAGTCTAAGAATAAGCTTTCTACTGTATCATGCAGACAGTTTTCTACTTCTTTCTCCTCCCCAAGAGAACTATCATACCATAATCTGCAGGCTTTGGTTCTAAATCCAAATTTTCTACCACTGGATTTCCATTTGACACAGGAAGAGAGCTTTTTATATGCTTGAGGAAAATGGGCATTTTTAGCTCTAAAAGATCTGTTGGGCTGATTATCCTCCTTCTGAGGTCCAGTGACTTTATACACAGTATTGGTCATAAAGTAATTTATTTTATTAAAATAATTTTTCTTTCCTGGAGCAAATATAACAGACTCATAGTTGTTTCCAAAGGAGTATACCATGGTTTATGGCATCATAGGTTATTTCTTTTTCCTTTTTTTGTTTTTTTGAGACAGAGTCTCGCACTGTCACCCGGACTAGAGTACAGTGGCATGATCTCAGCTCACTGCAACCTCCACTTACCAGGGTCAAGCAATTCTCTTGCCTCAGCCTCCCAAGTAGCTGGGATTGCAGGTGCCCGCCACCACACCCAACTAATTTTTTGTATTTTTACTAGAGACAGGGTTTCACCATGTTGTTCAGGCTGGTCTCATACTCCTGACCTTGTGATTCACCCACCTCGGGCTCCCAAGGTGCTGGGATTACAGACATGAGCCACTGAGCCCAGCCTATAGGTTATTTTGTCATTTAACTAAATCCTGCTTGTCCAGTGTCATCCCCAAGAGGCCTTCCCAGTCCTTGGTTTTGGTTAGATGTCACTTCCTATGTAAAGTTACATTGCATTTATCACACAGTTTTTAAACGATCAGCCTTCACCTTTCCCCACTTTGAGGTAAGAAACTGTGTCTTCTTCATCTTTACATCCCCTAGGGCCTAGCATAATTCATACCTGGTAAACAGTCAATAAATATGTGCTAGAGAGATGGATGGTTGGGGAAGCCATTAATTAGAGTGTGGATTCTAAATCTTTTTTGTGCCATGCATCTCTTTCGCTCTCATAAAGTTTTTGGATTCTACTCACAATGATGTTCTTAAGTGCATAAAATATACAAGATTACAAAAGAAAGAAGTTGTTGGATAATGAGATATAATAGCAGTCAGAATTACTTTTTTTAAATTTGTAATGATGAGTATAAATAATTTTTTAGTTACCTTGAGCAAGTTAGTGTGATTTGAAAATACTTACCATTTTTATAGATGACAAAATATAGGCATTACTAATATTATGGCTTGTTGCCTGTATTCATAATTGAAAGAAATACTAAATTTTGGTTAGAGATTAACAAAACTAAACATGTAAATGTTTCCCAAGTTCACATAACCCCTCCTGCAAACCCCTGCACCTGTACACCGCAAGCAAAGAAGCCCTGCATTAGAGAAACTAGAAAGGGTTAGGTAGCATGATGTTGTGGCTTAGGCACTGGCCTGAGAACAAGAAGTCATGATATGCCACACTAAAGAGACTGTTTTGGGGAGCTATAGAAGGATCTAAGCATGGGGGTAACAGGGTGACAGTCAAAACATTTGACAACCATGTGATATAGGCATTGACCAATCAGAATGTATGCCAGCTATGAACAGCCAGTTCAGGGGCACTAGTTCATATCAGTTAGCCCTAGTGAGACTAACAAATGATAGGGATTATTTTGAGGGAAAATGTGTGGTATAATACTGGAAAAGGATGAAATATGAGTTGGGGAGCCTGTTTACAAGGCTTTTGTAAGAACTAAGGCATTGGGATTGAGGATGGAAAGATTTAGGAGATAGAATCAAAGGTATTGAGTACTCACAGGATATCGGGGAATGGAGAGGAGGAATCTAAGATTATTTCTCTGTATCTGGACTTGGTAATAAGATAGGGAATATGGGAGGAGAAGCAGCAGCAAGTTATGGGAGATGGCTGAACAAGTGGTTCATTTTAGTACTTGTATTTGAGATGCCAGTGGGACATGCAAGTGGATCTGTGTCTGGCAGGCCCTGGATGTATGGGTATAAAGCTTAGAAAGGTATTTGGGGCTGACTTTTGATTGGGGAGTGATGAGGCTGTAGTTAAAGCCAGGAACATGGGTAATAGCAGCCTAAAGAAGTATACAGAATAAGGAGAGAGGACTTCTAATGATTGATCGTTGGGGAACCCAGCTTAAGGGTTGAGAGGAAGACAAGGAGCCAATGAATGAATAGGATGGGAGGGGAGGTAACAAGGGTGGGAATGAGAACCAGGATGAAATAAACCAAAGGAAGAGAATCAACTGTGCGTTTTCGCCACCCCAGTCCCAGTTTGTCTGGAAGCCTCTGGAGTATTCTCTGTTTTATGAGGCACCTGGTGTGTCGGAGGCAAGTAAGAGGTCAGCACTCCCTTGTTCTGTCACTGTTCTAAGCCATAAGGGATGCATGTCTCATTCATTGAAAAGTGAACTCATGTTTGGTTTATAAACTTGAAGTTTTCATTTCAAACTCACTTAGGGGGGAAATTGTAAACTGCCATGACCACGTTTGGC